GCCCTATTCTGCACCATCCTCATCTGATCTGCTGGAACCAGTTAATATCAGAGTCAATCTGCCTTTTTTGGAGGATCTTTCTCTCACCCTCCACCTTTCGCAGCATGATGCCTTTTTCCAAGGCCTGGTTCCTCCTGACATGTGAGGCCTAGTTCCATCATTCTCGCCTCGCCTCTAAGGAGCACTCTGCTTGCACTTCCTCCAGGATAGACTTGCTTGTTCTTTTGGCAGCCCATGGGATATTCAGTACTTTGCCCCAGCACCATAACTCAAAGGCATTGATTCTTCTTCTATCATCCTTAATCATTGTCCAACTTTCAGATATATAGGAAACAATTGAAAATACCTTGGCTTGCATCCAGTGCACCTTAGTCTTTAAGCTTCCATCATTGCTCTTTAGCACTTTGGAGTCGTCCTTAACAGAAGATTTTTCCCAGTGCCACATTTCTTTTGATGTCTTGACTCCCATTACCATGTGAATTGGTTGTGGATCCAAGTAAAATGAAACCCTTGACAACTTCAATCTTTTCTCCATCTATCGTGATGTTGCCCATCGGTCCAGTGGTGAGGATTTTTGTTTACTTGATTTTGAGATGTAACCCATATTGCAGTCTGTAGTCATTTAATCTCCTGAAGCAAAATACTTCAAATCCTCTTCACTTTTTGCAAGCAAGGCTATGTCCTCTGCATCGCTCAGGTTGTTGTTGGGCCTTCCTCCCGTGCTGATGCCACTTCCTTCTTCATATACTGCACCTTCTCTGATGATTTTCCCAGCAGGCAGGATGAATAGGCATGGAGAAAGGATGGTGCACAGAGTTGTATGCCTGAGCCTGAGAAACCCCGTGGAGAAGTTCTCCTGCAGCCTGTTGGGTAACCATGAGTTAAAATCAGCTGGGCAACATCACCTGAACCCTGTCACCACATGTTCAAGCACAGTTTTAGAGCTAAGAGTAAAGCTCTGGGCAAAGTGGACTGTGCCCTACTTTCCTTGAGCTTAGAGCCTGCCCCATACTTTATTTCTCCCAGGATATGAGAAGAAGTTGAGGGGAAATACCTTTAACTCTCCTAGATAGAATTTGGCCACATACTCTGTACATGACAGTGTGAGCTGCGGGGTGTAAGAGTTCACTCATGCCCTCACAAAGCCTGAAGTCTAGCTGGAGCACCACCACCTGGGAAAAAAGACCATGATTAATTTCATGAGGTAGCCATCAGTCAGTTTGTGGTGGTGCCAGATAAGTAGCTGAGACCCTTGTTTTTGAAGGAGGGTGTGACTAGCTAGTGAGGTGTGTTGGGAGACTTCACAGAATAGAAGAGGGAACAGACGGGGTCTGGACAGATGAGCAGAAACTCACTGGTGTGCTGGAGTGTGTCAGTGCCACCTGGTGAGAGTCAGTTGTCCACATGTTTTCTCACTCTGTAGCCATTCACATCAGATAGTGGGAGTGCACATCCACAAAAGTCAGCTAGTGCTGCAAATCAGAGCTCAGCTTTCCATCAGACAGAGCGTACCTTGAGTAGGATTCAGATTCTCGAATAATAACGGAGGCATTTTCAAATCAGTAATATGTGTAAGACTCAAGGTAGGGAATTTTCTGTTTCAAGGTTATTAAAGCAGATTGTTAATAGATGCCATCGAGGTGACTACAACTTTTCGTAGTTAGGTGTTCCGTTAGGTGCCGTTAAGTATGGCTCATAGCAACCCTATGAACAACAGATCCGAACCCTGTCTTGTCCTGTGCCATCCTCACAAACTCTGACACTCGAGCCCATTGTTGCGATCACTCTGTCAGTCCTCTTGGCTAAGGGTCTTCCTCTTTCACCCACCCTCCTCCTTTCCAAGCCGATATCCCTCTCCAAGGAAAAGCCTCTCCTGTCAACAGGCCCAAAAGATGTGAGATACTATGTCATCAGTATCGTTAATCCTGTTCTGCTCGCCATGGACCGCAGCAGCAAGGGCCCAGCCCACAACCAGGACCCCATCCTGTCACGTACCAGGGGTCTCACATGGGCCTTGACCAATAACCTGATTTCCTGTTAGAGGTACAACATTTCTCTATCAGTATGTTGTGTTGGGGGAATTATTTGCATATTAATTATTTTATGGCTTAGGTGTGTAAATATTTGCTTGTTT